TCTTGTTAATGATGCATCGGTGGCAAAGAAAGCGAGAAAATCTGCCATCTCTATGAGAAAGAAGGCTTCGTAAAAGTAGCGAAAATAAAACGCACGCGGCCGCAACATTTTCAAGTGGGGAGGAGTTTTGCACAGACTTTAGGCTTGACTATGGGACAGCGATTGGCGCCTGTTTTGACCATGTGATTTATGGCCAAGATTGAGGCATACCTGCTCTTAGTTTACTGCGAGTATATCGATAAATGCTTCATAGTCTGTGCGACACAGGAAGAAGTACATGTTTATTTTGTCGTACTAAACTCACGATCACAGCACATCAAGCCAACACGAGAAAAACCGACCCTAAAGTGGCATCCTTTCTTAAGCGTTAAAGTGAAGTTACAGGGCGATGCAGCAAGCCCAGCAGTAGGAACATCACTGTCCATCATTACTCAGCTCATCCTTTCTACATAGTCCGAGCGGCTTTTAGCAATATGTGCCGCACTGCTAAGAAGGTTCACACTGGAGAGGATGAGCGAAAAGTGTCGCTTGAAATGGCACGCGATATAGCATGGGTGAATGGCTACTACAATTTTTCAACTATACGTAGAACTCGGATCTCTTCGACAGCCACGACTACCTGCCTACCCTCCATCTTAGGCGAGACGATTAGCTCCCTTCCGAAATACGACATGCCATCACGTCGATGAAGAACTGTACAGCGCCCGGCCCCGATAGGATCAAACCAGAACACCAGAAGAGTCTTGCACCAGCCATCGTTAGAACTCTGACTAGGTTCCTCACACAGTACCTGTCGGAATGCAAAGTGCCCACGTCGTGGGAAACTAGCAAGACTGTGTTGCTGCATTAAAAGGGAGATCCAGACGATATTGGCAATCATCGCCCGATCTGCCTGCTGTCTGTAATCTATAAACTTTTCACTCGCATCATTCTAAACAGGATTGGCAGAATATTATATGGAGGACAGCCATACGAGCAAGGAGGGTTTCGGAGAGGCTTCAGCACAGTCGATCATATCCACACTCTTATAAGACTCATTGAAGTATCGCGAGAGTACAAAATGCCGCTATGTCTTACGTTCATCGATTTGAAGAAAGCCGTTGAGACAGAAGCGGTAACTGAAGGAGGGGGTAACCAGGGTGCTCCTACTCAATATATAAGATGCTTCTTGAGCCTTGTGACAATTTCACGACCAGGATTTCACCATTCTACAAGGAAGTCATTATCAACGTGAGCAGAGGTGTCCGGCAGGGCGACACCGTTTCGCCCAAACTTTTCAGTGCTGCTCTCAAGAAGACGACTCGTCACCTCGAATGGGAATTTTTAGGCAAAGGCAAAATGAATACTGGCTGAGTTCGACAATGCTTGTGAAAAGATCGGCTTGAGACTGAACTTATTGAGGACGATATTCATGAAAAACGGATTGGTACCTGATGCTATCTTCAGGTTAAGCGGAACGAATCTTAGAATGCTCTAGCTATGTGTATCTAGGTCGAGAAGTCAACATGATGAACGACCTAGCTCCAAAGTTGTGCAGAAGGAAACGCGTTGCGTGGGGAGCATTTAAAAATATCGAGGGAGTAGTGAAGAAGACAAAAACATCCGGCTCTGCGCTCACCTTTTCGACACTGCTGTCCTTTCTGCTTTGACGTACGCCTCGAGACTTGGACTATACGAAAGCAGGATGGGCATGCTGTCAGCGTTGCTCAACGCGGTTTGGAATGGGCGATGCCCGGAATTCTCTTATACACGCAAGTGCAGAATGGAATCCGGGGTTCCAAGCTCCATCAACGAACGAAAATCACGGATGCTGCTGATTACTCCAAGAAACCGAAGATCAGGTGGGCCGGACACGTTATGCGATATAGTGATGACCGTTGGATCAGAGTGGTTACTAACTGGATCCCTCGAGACATCAAACGACCTTCAGGGCGGCCGCCAACGAGGTGGTCAGAATTCTTCATGAAAGCTCTGAATGGAAAGAATGTTGAACTTTGTGTCCCTGAAGCAATGACGATTCACTGGACCACTCTGACTCGTGACAGAGTCCAATGGAGACGTTACTAACGCCCGCTCGAGGAAGTCGACGATCAATGAGACGAACGTTATGCGGGTGACAGGTGATACGTAGAGCTTCTTCTGGCGGTGTGATTCTTGCACATGGTAATATTTCGAGTAAAAGAGTAGTTACATCTGTACTGCCATTCACTTCTGATGATTCTTTAGAGAGTGTCGAAAGAGATCGGGATTGGAAATTTCAGTTGCCATCATAAACGTGCCACCCTTCAATCAGAATACGCGCCTGGTTTGGAACAGGCTATGCGATTGCCCATGAACAAGCTCAAATTGTGTGGTNCCAGCTGTTAGGGAGGGTGATCGTAATATGTTTGGGGTTGCCTACAAAATTTCTTGCAGTGACTGTGATGATGAGTATATTGCGAAACGGCAGGACCATTCTACGCGAGGATGAGTAGCACATATGAGACGATTGAAGGACTTTACTGCGCTAGTGAGTCACCGAATTCAAAAGCATAACGGAGGCGTTTTTGAGGTCCCCGAGGAGGTGAGATTGTTGCACAGGAGTCGCAATTGTGTGCGCGTCGAATACTCGTCGCATTCTGTGTAATAGTCACCAATCCAAAAATAAATCGAGAGAAGAATATCTTGAAATCGCGCGGGAGCTTCGACACTATAAAAAATTGGCCTTTCCGCGTAGACTTTGAGTGAGGACATACCCCAACTGACTGTGGTCGGTTGGTACCATTACTTGCTTAGTGTTTGCGAAGAATCCACAAAGCCACGCGAGTGGTTCTCTTCCAGTCACTTGGGTGCCCTTGTTATCTCGAACTGCAGTAGGTCGGTGGACACGTTTGATCGGATAGTCACAGATCGTTATGATCCTTCCAGGCTCTTAAGAAGGCGATTTCGCCGAAATGCCAGCTCATAGGGCTTATTTACAAATCTCGTGAAGAGTTTAAGAAAACACTAAACTCAATATAACAGTGAAAATATCTACAAGTTGTACGAGAGCATCATGACGAAAATGACATGGAAGGGGTATTCGAACGAGTCCTCAATTGTTGCCATTGCGCAATGAGCTGACTACATCAAACCAGATTGTCCAAGACTGCTTCGTTCCACTACACTCCACTGCCGCGATGGGTCATAACAAGTTACTTGGACTTCCTAATGAGTTCCCTGGTGAATGGCGCAGATCTAGGACGCCGTTGGAACTAATTCGTCACGCGTGACATTCGGCAGATACCAACTTTGAGCCCTTATGATCTACCTATCTAAGTCATAATTTACCTATTTAATTCGTTTTCCGACGTCGCAGCGCCTTATATGGTTTTCGGGTGAAACACAGATTCATCCCACGGTGATATTTTAAAGGCACAATTCACAAAAATTTTGGGTAATTTAGTTTATGACGAAAAATAGAAGATAAGATTAGATAAGATAAGATAAAATGGAAAAAAGCCTCGAAAAATCATTAAAAAGGGGGCCGAACGAAAATGACACCAAAAATGAAGAAGAATGGGGCGTTTGCTATACAATGTGTCTCGCTGCGTAAGTGTGGGTCCTGGTGCGAATAACAGACAATGGTAAGCGAAAATTCATTCACTTATAAGCATAAGTAAACAAAAATCCTAGTAGCAGGAGTAGCTCATCTTTTTCAGCTTCTGGGAGTAGGAAATTGAATAGGGGATCGCGGCTGCAAAAAAAAAATGACAGAGGAAAAAAGAATGGGAGGAAAATATTGTCTCATTACTCGGCGATCAGCGGATATTGTGTGGGTCCTAGAACTAATAGTTGAATCTGCGTTGTCTCGACACTCGTCTGAAGTGACATCGATCTTGGGGAGACAAGTCCGGGCGATCCGGTATGGGGCTTCCACTGTACCCTAACTGTTGAGTTTTCGGGCACGAGAGGGTCCTTCCTGTTACCCTTGGGGCCACTGGGTATTCCTAAGGGGTGAATTCAGAAACCATTTTCATCGTGAACTGTGCCTTCAAAAGCCTTTTTTGTCGAGAATTGTGCCTTTAATAATTTATCTTGAGCCAGCCAAACACATCTTCCATCCCTTCAGGGTTCATTGACTGGTACTTTACTCCTTGTGTGACTCGTGTGAGAGTATTAGAAGGCACAGTTAACTTCAAGATGGTGTCTGAAATCACTTCCTAAGATAGGCTGTGGCCTACAAGCGTAGCACAAAAGACGCTCACCATTATGTCAAAAAACGGGCTGTATTGGGTTGAATAGGGGTCCTGAATACCGGCCAGTTAAACGCGCGTAGGCGGTCGAGATCCCGACGAGTTGACGAGACCATAGAAAATACGCTAAGCGGACAGGACCCACGCGTTGACATGGGATCCGTTGATAGCAAAATCAGTGCTGATGTATGGTAAAAGCAAAAGACATTTTTGCTTACTGTGACCAGCTGTACTCAATGAGACACACTACACAGCTCGTCCCAATGCCACTTCCACAGTAATTTATCATCTAACTCTCGCGCAACCCGATTTTTTCTCTTTTCTACTTTTTTGAAGCTTTTCATTTCACTGGTAGCGCCGGCTCTTGCATTCTTTCTCACCATCGCCCTAATCTCACCCTTCACCAATTTCGTCTCAATCTGGATGCTCGAAACTATCATGAACCGAACCTTTAAGCACTGTCGTGTACATTTGTTAGCCACCGTAAACCTCTGTGTAAGACATACGCATTCAGGAACACCACTACCCCTTCAATTAAAGTGGAATAATTATAATAATTTGTCTCACAACGTTAGCATTGTGGCAAACATTGTCTCAGGCAGTACACAAAACCGTACTTGTTGACAGTCTAGTCTGGGAATCCACTTTTACCAATCATCTTACTGTTACTATCGTTTCTCTGTGGTTAGGAACCGTTTAGGTTTCAATTTCATCTAGAAACCCTTATACTACAAAAAAAAGTTTTCTGCAAATGATTCTGTCCTGAAGATTCCAAACCTGTTTCAGGCTGCTACTCTACTCCCAACATTGTCTCCTGTGCTGAATCAACAGGTCAATCTTGCCTCACACCAACATTGTCATTGTTTTATATTGAATTTTTCAGCCTGCTCTTCCAAAATCCGCGATTTCAAGTGCACAGTCTTCGGACGATGCAACACCCTATCCTACAGTTCCAGCAGTGCCGCTTACAGTTCCTACTAGTATGCAAGCCGTTATCTAGCGATTGAGAGATCACAAAAACTTCGCTAACTTACTACAGATTTGTCGAATCAGACATCAAAACATCCAAATAGCTCAAGTAGCAGCGCTCCAACGGCTCTACAACCAACTTCTGGTACTGCGATGGGAAAGGTGATTCATTGATAAATATAATGGTCGGAGAGTCAGGAAAGGTTTCTGTATTTCTTCTGAATAGAATTCCTGTAGACCCGCTGAATTATTACTTGAGCTACCGAAAATACGAGAAGAAAATAAGGAATAGGAAAAATACGAGAATCCTAGTGTCTTCATATTCTCCAATGTTATTTCATTTTGTTTTTTACACTACTCGTGTACCATTTACAGATTCTTCTTACATCTGCCGCTGTCACTAGCATTGTCTTCTGAGTGCATGTTCCATTTGAATGCGTCCATCCATTTCAAAAAAAAAACAATGTTCTCATGTTCTCGGAAACGGTATAAGCTATCAGAGCCTATCACCCCTGTCGTGAAGCCCACGACTTCATTACATCTGGGCTGCCACGGCACCGCGCACATACTATTCGACGCGCAGCACTGTCACCATCGATTGCGCCGTCGTCATCGATTGCCACGTGGCATGGGGCGTGGCGCCGAGTGTGCACTCAACACCTTGCCATTCCATGCCATGTCAGCGCGCCGAGCGGTCGGTTTTCTATTTCGTGTCTCGTATTCTCGCATTACCATCGTCATCGTGTAACCTCGACTCTGAAGGGATCGGAAGCACTCGCAAGATCACTCTGCCAAGGAAGAGGAGATAAAAGAGGCTCCAGGGTGCGAGCAGGAGGATGGAAAGGATAGAGCTGCCAGCCGTCGCCGGACGGCTGAGGTCATCAGCAGCTCGGGAGTATTGGGAGCGCCATGGAGCCTCGGGTCAGCGAAGGAACTCGGGGCCGCGGAGAGGAGCGGTCCGCGCATGACACACGTCTGCGGACACCGCGTCGCTCTCCTTCCCCGAGGGCAGAGAGTGCCGACGACCCCTAATGAGGTAGGAGCTTGACCCGTAGGCATAACTCGTATTCCTTGTTGTATGAAGATAAACGTAATACTCTTTATGTTCGTGTTTTGTAGCAATAGCCGTGTAACGGACCAATGCTTTTACACCGTGTTTTCTATCATTACTCGCATTGACAATAGTAGCAGTTTATTCATAGGTATTTATATATGCACATATACTCGCACGCGCAGGGAGGCAGGAGTAGTATGCTCGCAGGTACGAAAGGGGAGAAGGCACTGGATGCCACACCACCTGATAGCAACGCACCTACAGCACACAGCTTCCCGCTCTCTCCGCGATCGGGGGGTCTCAAGTAGGACCGCCTTATACCGCGTGGCCAGGCGAAGTACCAGCGCCCTTACCGGTGGAAGAGAACCTCCTCCCCGTTCGCGACAACCCCGATCGAGTTCTCTCCCTTTACTTCAGTTATTCCCGCACTCCATCGTTTCAGCTTTACTTTTCATTTACTCTTAATCCGAATCTTACTTTTTGTTTTCCTCTTTGGCTCTCGGAAACTTGGCCTTACTTTTCACCTTCTTCTACAGCCTCTTTTGACCTATTGTGGTCATATTCTATCGCTCGTTGAGCTGTCTCAGATTCCGGCTCCTTCATTTACTTTTTTTTGAATGTGTGGCTTACGAATAAGTAGTCGCATGGTTCATGGACCGACATAATCACGGCTACTGCGTTCTCGTGAAGGTTCCTCATCAAACACAATGCGATTAATTTAAAACTGCAGCAGTGAAAGTAGCGGGCGTTATGAGTTCAATGATATTCTTGGATTGATGACTTGTCAGCACAGTCAGCAGAGCTTCTTCGCCCTTGTCTCTTACCAAGTAAACCTCGATGTAAATTAGTGTTAAGAGAGAAGTGAAAGACTTGAAAGAGATGTGCTGAACATTTCTATTTATATTAATGTATGTGTGTGTGGGTGTGTGTCTGTGGCTCCTAACGGAGATTCATAACTTCTGTTCCTGTGAACCTAGAGCCTTCAAATTTGGTACCCATACAGGCGGTAGGATAGGAGCAGTAATGGCAGCAACTGGCCCTGCTCACGAGAGGCGGGACGTACACGAAAATTGTTGATTCGAAGTTCTAGCGTTCAATTTCTGCACGGGTATAGGCGGCAAGTTCGAAACATCGACGGTAGGTAATAGAAAGTGAGCGAACAAGATTCCGTCCGTGAGAGGAATTGGGAGGCGGAGGGAGTGGATAGTGCGTGAATTGAGCGTAATTTGCGTGAAAACTTGGAATAAGAGAGGAATGAAGTATGTTACTTGAACACACAGGACTTGAGCAGGACTACGCTCATAGCGGGCAGGGCGCAAGTGCGTTGGTGGGTGTGTGTAATTCGCTGGGAATCAAATGCTCCTGTTCCTCAAAGCAGAGCTTTCGAAAATGGAAGAATGCAGGCGACAGGTTCAGTAGAAAAAAGAGGAAGCCCGGCGTGAACTGAGCTATCCGACTGTATCTATTTGAAAAAAATCAAATCCAAATCTCGAAACTAAATGAATTACTCAGTCCGGGACAGGATTTTTGACCCGATCAATTGTAACTGCGTCACTAGTGGTGTAATTAATATATTGCTAATATATTGCGATCTTGCACTGAAGCTGTTGACATGGATGCTAGTTTTTCAAATTAATCCCCGTGTACCAGGGCAACAGTGATGGTGGCTCAGCCTCCATATATCCAGCTCTTGGCTGAATCCTCAATTAATTTATTTCGCCGCTGCCATAGTACCGTTATCTTCCTAGTTTTAGGACTTTCGGCGGTAAAATGAAGCTTCAAGTATGACTATCAATTGATGGATATTTATAGTTTGTTGCACTGAGGCTGTATATCAATAAAGATTCTCGTTTTTATTAACCACAGCATTGCTCTACAGCACGAAGCAGACAAAGTTCGGCGTTGAACGAACATATAGGCCCACAATATTCGTGGTTTATATTGACAACCTATGAGTTAATATTCCTCGAAACTTTGCGTTTGATCGGAATTGATAACTAAAGTGAATGCAGTAAGATCAAATATAAGTAGGGCGAAGGACTAGGTGTGAACGGTGGACTGTAGGTAAAAAGAAGTGACAACAATCGATTATACATGATGGAAGGCTTTACAACTTAAAAGCCGTTGGAACTGGTACGTCCATCATATGGGCAGGAGAGAGCTGACACTAGGGTGATGGGTAGTTTAAGCGTGGCTAGCTTGAGCATGAGACCAAGACTACTCTGCTTTTCGTCTTAACAGCGTGACCCAGACGATCGAAAAGTGCATGAGCTGTGATCAGATGTAGATGGCTGAAGGTAATGTACGACAACTGATAAGGGTTCTAGAAGAAGAAAACTATATTCCGAATTAACCTTATTCTTTGCAAGTATTGCCCAGTCTTTGACTGAGTATGAGCTTGAGTGCGGACCAGTGTGTATCAGAAGCTCTTCGACTGTAAGCGAACGACGGCAACAACCGACTTCATAATTGCTCAGGGTAAAAGGTAGATGTCATGTGAAAATCCACATGACATCTACTTTTCAACCTGAACAAGCGCACACACAGAAAAGCGCAATGCCTACCAGCGGAGGTGAGGCCACAGCTCGCTATAAAGCAAGGCGCTCGCGCCGTAAAGATCATGAGCTCAATCTTCCTCTGCTCAGTGGAGTGTTTTACTATGAAAGCCTACCGGAGTACGCTACGGTGAGCATAAGATTCACATTCTGTCACCGACTTAGAGAGATTGTACACTACTCGCCGTAGGAACTCAAAAATTTGTGAGGATACCGCGAGTTTGCGTCTTTTTCGTCTTTATTTATAAATCGCTTCAAAATAAATTAATCAAAGAGAAAAAAACCATTAAACTCAGCTCATCGAGCTCTACAAGATTTTACCCTAAAAAGTTGAAAATGCTTTATTTTGGATTGCGCCATGCACTTGAGCTCCGT